AAAGAGTGCCATTTAATTTTGTAAAAAGTTCAAGAATGAACTTGTAGAAGCGTCCCTTATTAACCAGTGATATTATGACTATGTAATTTGATGTTCTGGGTGCTCTGTGTAATCATTTAGGACCTGTTCTTGCAAACACAGGGACTCAGAGCCTAACAGAGCGTTTTGGGACCCATTTCCATAAGTCCTAAAGGGATGAAGGTATCACAGCTCACTGGGTCTCCAGTGCGCGTCCCTAACTTCAAGTTTTAACATGCTCTCACATTCACAGGGCTAAGGCCTCAGAGTTCGTGCTGTTTTGGGCCAGGGACAATCGCTGCCAGTGGCAGTAAGGCCGAGCAGACCTGGCCCTGACCCATGAGCTGTGGGTGTTGGACTGTACTTCTGCTGCAGGAGGGAAGCTGCCAGGTAGGTGTGTTGGCAGAAGCACCACTCCTTGGCCTTATCCTTCAGAGGGTAAATAAACTTAATCCCAAATTCATCCACTGCTGTTTGCTAACAGCAAATAATTCAGGTTTTGAAGTGAGGAGGGATCACACTGTTCTAAGGACCCTGGGGAAGGAGAAGGTGTTCAGCACAGCCCCTGCAGAGCAGGGCAGTTTCCAAGCCCGGGAGCAGCTGGTCTTTGCCTGATGCACAGCCCTTTCTTCCAGAACTGATCCACCAGGCTCATCAGGTGTGAGAGGGGTCTGGATGGACCTGATGCAAACAGAAATGTAGTAAATGTCTGTGCATTTAACCTCAATGGATTTACCAGCCTGTAAACTTCTAGAGAAAAATTTAAATTCTGCTGCCTTTAAACACACACAGAGAAATTAAGTTGTTTGGGACAAAACTACACCTAGGAGTCTTTTACCTCTATAGCACCAGATTGCAATCACCCACAAAGCAGCAGCATTCTCTTTTCCATCCTGAGAGGTGTGGTAGGAGAAAGGCGCGCGCACACACACACACACACACACACACACACACACACAGAGTGTATATGCACCTCACAAGATGAAATAAAAGCACATCGTCTAAGTTTGCTTAGGTTTAGCGAAGGTCAGAGATTTTCCGCACCTAGGTGAGCTGTCATCTGGCTTGGGGCAATTCTCTTTTCTCTCGCATCCTTTGCTGGAACAGCAGGAGAGCTTTACTGGCGTGAAAGACTAAACTGTCCTCAGGCTATAAAGGACTTGAGTCACAAACCACTTCCCCCCCCCCCCATACACACTTTCATATTAATTCAGGACCTTCCAAAATTGTCCTAAAATCTCCTCACCTGCTGGTTCTGAAAACCTGTTGAGGACCGAGGCTTAAATTAAGGGAGGTGACAAAACATACGGGATTTGCTCTAAACAAAGCAATTCTAGGCTGATGGGGTCAAAACCTCTCCTACTTTTAAATACTAAGCTTCATTTTCATGAACTTAAACCAATTACCTAAGAACAACTGCATCGTTAAGACACAACAGCAGCATCTAAGTAAGTGCATGCATAGTAAAGATTAGAAAATAATCATACCACTATAAAGCACAGCAATACTTGCATGAATGGGCAGCGTCTAAAGCTCAGGAATAAACTCCTGTCACTACAGCCCCTATCAGTACGGTGACCAAGAGGGAGCTCCACATGTCTGGTACTCCAGAGCAATGCTGTGCTTTCTGATTTCTTAAAGGGATATTTAGAATCAAAAACTTTATTGCCGCTTTTGAGCACATCCTGCCTCTTTAAATGTTTTCCTCTTTATTAAAGCCTTGGCCTTTTCCTTTGTTAATTTTTTTTTGCAAGTTCTTTCATTTTTCATTTCTTAAACCTCCCATGCAACAGCTATTTTGGCTTTTAATGAAGGGAATTTTTCTGCATCCAGCAAACTGTAAACCATGTCGCTTGGATACAGCAAAAGCTGAAATTCCACAGATTTCCACAAAGTCATACATTGTGTTGGGGGGAAAGTGTGCTGGGCATTCTTTGATTTTTGTGTCCTGCATTAGCATTTGTAAGCACTTAGTAAAGAGAAAAAGAGAAAGAAAAGAGAAAGTAAGAGAAAAGAAGAAAGGGGGGGGGGGGGAGGAGAGAGAAGGAGAGAGAGAGGGAAAGGGAAAAAAAAGACAGAAAGAGAGAGAGAAAGAGAGAAAGAGAGAAAAAGAAAGAGGTAGAGAGAGAGAGAGGAAAGAAAAGAGAGGAAGGAAGGAAAAGGAAGAAAGGAAAAGAAAGACAAGAGAGAGGAGGAAGCTGCTGTGATGAACGCAAAATATGACCTTTTCTTTTTAAAAGTTTGTGCTGTCCCTCTTGTTTAGCACCAGTGCTGCTCATGCTTTCCCTTCAAGACGCTTCGGAGTTGTTAAGCATCTAGGGGTGATAATTTGACTTTCAGCTAAACCGGAGGGCTGCAGCAGACAGCAGTAGGTGGTGATGTAATAGGTACCAACGCACATGGATATATAAATATCGTGGCCAGGGCTAAAGCGCTATGGCTGAGCAGCTATAGAAGAAGATCAGCACTTCAGACAAGACTCCTGGAGTTGAGATCAAGTTCAGAAGCTCTTGCTCCCGGGATTTCCTCTCCATGCAGCCAGCCCAGGGAAACCGCAGATCCTCGGGGGACTGAGCGCGGGGCTCCCTCCCTCCCCCCCGCCTCGCTTTTTGGTTTTTTGTTTTGGTTTGGGTTTTTTTTTTGTTGGTTTTCTTTTTTTCTCCCCCCCTTTGACCTCAGTATAAAGTGGGAGCTGGGGGGTGAGCGTATTTTCGGAGCGACCGGCCGCCGGCCCGTGGCTACCCGCCCTTAGCCGGGATGCCTCTCCCCGCCGCGCTGCTGCCGGCTCTGCTCCTGGGGCTGCGGTGGGCGGGGGCCGGGGCCG